GGTTCTAGAATATCTGGGATTTCATTTATACTACCTTGTAAACAAGTTTAATGTATGCCCTGCTAGAAGGAGACTTCAAAAGGTCGAAGCCCCCACTGATGCTAGTTTACGTCTTGCCTAGTGTTCAGGATTTCTGGATTCAGGGTCGTGGGCTTAGAGCCTTTTGGTAGTTGCATTCCCCACCCTATATAGCTTCCTCTTAGAGTGGGCCGAGGCCTCCATAGGGTTTTCTCTTAGGATTCTTGTTAGTTTGGCAGGGGAGCGGGTGAACTGCTCCTTTGCCCGTGTGTTGCATGCAGCGTCGCGCAGTTTTGCCGGGCTTCGTAATTGTTTCCGGCTGTAGCGTCAACATGATGAGCTTAACCAGTACAGCGCCAACAGTGGCAGTGACTGGCATACAGTAGTGCTGGGCTCATGAGGATCTCATCCGGGAATGGCATCGCGCCTCAAAAGAGGAGGTGGATTTCTTGCTGGAGGCCAAGAATGCCACACACGCAGCACGCGCGTTGCAGAAGCACGCGATCGACGTGGCCTGCCCAATGCCCATCTCAGAGCATTGTGGCAAAAGAGTCCTGACCATGGTCTTCATCGAAGGTTGGAAGATCACCGACTTGGACAAGATGCCCTACGGCACGGACCGGGAGACTATGGCACGCAACTTGGTGCACGCCTTCGCCGTCCTGGTATTCCAGGAAGGCCTCATTCACGGAGATCCACACCCAGGCCATTCGCAAGCGTCCTGCTTGCGACAAAGAATGGGGGGGGGGTGTTCCGAAAATTAAAGCTCACTTTTTTTGGTCAGGCGGGCCCCCATTTATGGACCTGCCCGAATATGGCAGTGTAGTACAGATCAGCCCTGTCTCCCGAAGGCAACGTGTTCGTTGAGCCCGTATCCTCCAAGAATGGTGGCACTCAAGTCGCCCGCGTACGACCTGTCCTGTTGGACTGGGGTGTCCCAGCCAGCAGCGAAAATCCAGTCATGTCCTACTCTTAAGTTCTATGCCATGCGCAGGGTCAGGGGGGCTGGAGTAAACACGGGATCCTAGGCATTTCCAGATAGAGGGCCTTTTAAATAGGGGTGCCTTTTGAGAATTGCAAAGGATTAGTTCAAGCCTCGTGAATTTGCAGCCCAGTTGCAGATCGCCATTCATGTGAAATTGTCATGAGTGTTTCCAACAAGTCGCGGCTTACTCAATCCTAAATCCTAAACACTAAACCGTACATGCTGCTCAGGCTGGAAACTGAAAAGAAATCCTATTCAACGCCCAGTCCGACATCCCAGAAGGGCTGGGGTGCTCGCAATGGCAATCACACAATCTATAGTCGAAACTCAAGATCATGGGGCTATATAGGGGTTTATATAGGGGATTATAATGGGGCTTAGAAAGGCGCATACTAGAAGTCTAGACTAGCTCACATGAACATGGCAACGCTGACATGATAGCATGGTGAGCTCATTACGCAGCATTCGATCGATGTTTGCTTATCAGCGCCATTTCCATTCTCCCTAAGGGTCCAAGTACCTAATAATCATATACTTGCCCAAAACCTGTGCTATAATTACTATTACCCTAAACCCGAGTACCTAGTTATTTGGTACTTGGACACTCTGGGATCATTATGCTTTACCACTCCGGACCTCCTTCCTTAGCAGCGGGAAATGAGATACACCTATTTTGACGCAGCATCCTTTTCTGAATTCCCGAGCTAGGTAAGGAAAACCAATTCAAAACCAGCCAATATTAGGGTTGAGGGTTAGGGATAGCCACCATCATACATATCGGTAGTGCTTCGTAATATAAACTACGTAAACCGTCAACCCGTATATCCTCCCAATGTCCATTTCGTTTTCTGGTTTCTTCTTCCTCTTCTTCTTCTTCAGTGTTTCCGCTATCTCATGTTCACCTTCATCCCTATATAATCTCTCATCCCTATATAATCCCTCTAGAATTCCAAGAGTTGCGTAGACCCTAAACCTTAATCCCTGTCTACCTAGCCCCAGTAACCACTGAGAACCCCCAACCCTACATATCTATGTCTACATCGATACACAAACCATAACTTCTAAACTCTAAACCCTACACAGACCACCCGGCCCCCAAGGCAAACCCTAAACCCCAAACCCCTAAATCCTAAACCCCTAAACCCTCAACTGCGTGAAAGGCATCGTCAAGCGTTTGGAGCCCCGCGAGCGCGTAGCGGCTGCCAAATGGATCGTGGCAACCCTGGCCCAGGACAGGCAGGGCGTTCTCCAAACAAACAGGTAGGGTTTGTTGGGGTTTCGGGTTTAGGGTTTAAGGTTGGGGGTTTGGGATTTAGGGTTTGAGGGTTTGGGGTTTAGGGTTTGAGGGGTTGAGGGGTTCAGGGAATGGGTTTTGGGGTTCAGGGTTTAGAGTTTAGGGTGGGCTCCATAGCTAGCAAGCTCCACTGTAGACCCAAAATATTAGAATCCTTCACTTAGCGGCTCCTAGGAAGTGGGAAGTTCGGTTGTTCATGTTGAAGGCCCTATATCGTGCAGAACCTGTCTGCCGTAATCAGTAATATGGACCCCTGATTCATAAACCCCCTCCTCGTTAACACTAGGGTCCCTATTATAATCCCTATAAAGGGGAGGGGGTTTATTAATTAGGGGTCTACATTAAGGTTATGATATCCCATGAGGTTGCTCTACACCACCAGCTTGCTGGAGCTGGGTTTCGAGTTTGATGCGGACCCAGACATGGCCGAGTTTGCGACGTTTGTGGAAGCATCTCTTGGCCAGTGCGCCTTCATGTTCCGCGACTCCATACCCAGCAACTCCCAGATGAACTTCCTGCAACAGATGCAGCAGCACCAGGAGAAAGCAGAGAGCCAAGAAGGCAACAAGATGGGCAAGGACCAGACCCCTGAGAGAACCATAGAAATTAGATCCCTACAGTATATAGACCCAGAATAGCCCCTTCCTTGTATATCTCTTCTTAAGGTCATAGTAATAATAAGAAGAGTAATAGTGATACTGGTAGTACTAGTGATAATTAATACTCGTAGGAATAGTAAGGGTAAGAATAGCAATAACCAAACTGTGTTAAAGTAATACTCCCTAGGGCTCCCACTTACCTAAATGGTAAGTTACTGGGCTAAGTAAATTAGGTGATTAGAGTATATAGAACCGAGAACCCATTATTTAGGCAACTGGAGCCCAAGGGGGTAGTTCCCAAACTTACGGTCCCATTTTGGATACCCCTAAATATTCGGTGCCGTAACAAAAACCTATAGCCAAGAAGGGCCTGCAACTTAGAACAATTCAAATCCTACACTCTTGGCCCTAAACCCTAAACCGTTTTATTTTTAGTAACAAAAGTCATAGAGTTCCCCTTAAGTAGATAGAATATGGGGTATATGGGCATCTTAGTATACTATACCCAAAGCCATATTCCATCTACTTAGGGGGGACTATACCCCAAACCCTAAATAGTAGTTTCCATTGTCTTTTCCATTATCCCTATATAACCCCCATATTCTATCTACTTACGGGGGACTTTACCCTAAACGCCTAAACCCCAAACCTTATATTCTATCTACTTAAGGGGGACTATACCCTAAACGCCTAAACCCTAAACCCTAAACCTTATATTCTATCTAATTACTCAAGGGGGGCTACATTTCCTTTGGGGCCCTGGGAGGATCAGAGCCGCCTTATTGGGAAGATCCCGGGCGTGGTGCTCTTCTTCCTCCGTGGCCTTGACACTGGGCTGCTGTTTAGGGCTTAAGGTTTAAGGTCTAGGGGTTTTAGGGTTTCAGGGTTTTGGGGTTTAGGACTTAGGGGTTTTAGGGTTTAGGGGTTAGGGTTGGGGAGCACCAGAATATAAACATAAGGGTTTTGGTTTTAGGGTTTGAGATAGGTACACATGTATGTACACATACGACGCAGAATTGAGATATGAGAGTTTAGGCTTTAGGGCTTAATACTTTTTTCTGCGTACATATATATACACGTATTTATATGTATCAATGGTACCCTAAGCCCTAAAACCCCAAAAAAACTTAAAACCCATCGGTATGGTTCCCCTATTCTGGTAGCTGAAACTGGCCTCCTTAACAGCAAAACTCAAGGGTTCCAGGGTTGTACCCCTAAAAGGTTTCCCCAATGTAGTCCCCTAGGGTCCCTCAAAAAGTTCCCAAAACCCCTAAACCCTAAACCCTAAACCCTAGGGGTAGAAGTCTGAAAGTATTGAAACTCAGGAGATGCTACAGAACATCTGCGGCATGCTTGAGGCCTTAGGGTTTAGGGTTTAGGTTTACTAAGGCAGATCGCGGTCTAAGGTTTTGGGTTTGGGGTATAGGGCCTGGATGATTAGCGACATTATGATTCAGGGTTTAGGGTGTAGGGTTTAGAGTGTGGGGAATATTACGGTCCTAGATTCCTTGCGTAGCCGTGATATAGGGTACTGTAACCCAAACAGACCTCAACAACTACTGTACAGTGGTAAGTATTCAGGGTGTGTAAAGCATGCATACTGAGGGTGTGAATCCGTGGCCACCTAAGCCCGAACCCCAAACCACAACCCTGGCCCTAAACCGGCAGGTCACAGTTCCTTTTGCCTCGATTATGCTGGACAGCTGCATGCCTCTGCTTGCGAATGAGGGGCGATGGAGCCCTTTAACCGCAATGCCGGTACCTCCAGGCCGCACTGGTTGCCAATAAGAGGGTTTAGGGTTTAGGGATCTATATTGGGATCCCCCTACTTATGGAAACCACCATACCTACAGATATATATATATATACATATATATATATATATACAAAGCTTTGCCATGCGTTGGTGAATCCCAGCTCCTCCATTCCTTCATGTTTTGTTTCAGATATTTGTGCATACCCTCTATATACCCAAGATAGGGACCAAATATAGTTCCCCTTAAGTAGATAGAACATGGAGGATATGGGGATCTTAGTATAATAGACCCAGAGCCACATTCTATCTGCCTAAGGGGGACTACCCTAAACCATAAACCCCTAAACCCTAAACCCTAAACCCTATATCTACTAAAGGGGGGTTATATCCCCATTTATATCCCCATTTAAAGGCTACAAGTTAGGCCCTGGGATGCACTCAGCAGGTCGCTCCTCTCTCGAGCAGAAAGTCAGAGCTAAGCTGCAGGCGCTGGATAACCAGCATCTGATTCTGGCTGCCCAGGCACCAACCAAGCAACTTCGGGTTTAGGGTTTAGGGTTTAGGGTTATATATGTGTATATATGTATAGGGGAATATGCCCAGGCGCCAAAGAAAAGCGATCTCAAACGGGTGATATAGGGGTCTAGAGGGTGATATGGGGGGTATCTGTTTATAGGGTTATATAGTTTAGGGTTTAGGGTTCAGAGAACTGCAAAGATGTACCACGTGCATGTGAAGGGTGTGCGCGGGTACCTGTGGTCAAAGAAAAGGTGGTCTTCAGCATCTTGACGAACAAGCCACTGTGTCCAAGAGTATGAAAGTGGCCAATGTACCCCTGCACGGTGGCAAGATTAATCTGTGGGAGCTGTTTCTAATAGGGCTGCGCGCGGGAACAGCACTCCCATTGTGAGGTGGATTTGTAACAGGGCTTCAGAGATTCCATGGTGCAATGAATGCCGCTAGTGGCCAGCACCATTCATGACAGAAGTCAGTCATGGGCAGAAATGACAAGAAACATGCCATAAGATTCTAGCACCCACCCTCAACAGCCCAACGCAGTATGTATTGAAATCCTTTCAGCAGTTCTCTTCGTACAATGATGATGCAAGCTGATGCAGGTTGCAGTCCTCGACTGGGGCAACCGGAAGAGGGAGATCTTGGCGAATTATGACGACTTCACTCCAAACTATGGTTCATGTACATATACTATTTTTGAGCTAGCTCAATTTTAGGTTAAACGGTTAGAATTACATTACCCATACATAACCCTCATATAACCCGAGAATGATCCCTATCTGTGCCCAGGAGATGATATGCAATGCATCCTGCGGACGGATAGCTGTCTGCCATGGGTCACCCATCTCTGACGAGACTGCGCCATGGCGAGTTGTTCTAGCAGTTGCTGTCCGTAAGGTATACCCGAACGAAAGAGGCGCGGACGCCTCAGGATTACCCTAAGGTCCAAGTATCTAATACTTACCCAAAACCTATACTAGAATTACTATTACACAAAACCCAAGTACCTAATTATTGGGCACATGGATCCTAAACCCTAAACCCCAAACCCTATATACCCCTATATCCCTATGTACCCCTATACATCACCCTTAAAAAAGGGGACCTACTTATTGGCTTCGAGGTGTAGAGGAATTCTCCGGTCCGAGGTGATGCCCCTGCAGAACCTATCCGCTGGGCCTTTGCTGATGTGCCTCCTGCGAGCTTTAACTCAGCCTACTGCAACAGGCTGCTCTGGGAAGGTAGTTGGGGCATGGGGTTTGCATGCGAGCCTCCATTTAAAAGCTTGGTAATTACTCAGTATACTACAATCCTTAAGTATGGTAATGGAAAAGAAAATGGAAACTACTATCATGGATGGACAAGAAGAAGTTAGATGAAATGGAAACTCACCCTAAACCGTAAACCCTAAAACCCTAAAACCCTAAACCCTGTACAAGAGGCAAAGCAGTGTCGCTGAGCAGCCCGGTGTCTCACTTATGGCCTGACTTCACTCAGAAGGGCAAGAGCCTGGGTTGCTTCTAAGGAACTAGGAGGACCCCCCACCCTGTAATAGTTTAGGGTTTAGGGTTTAGGATTTAGGGGTATAATACGAATATAAGAGGACCCTAATATAATCCCTATTATCCCTTATAGTCACTATTACTGGGAGGTTGGTCCACCTAACTAAGGAACGGAAAGTAAGTTACTAGAACAAGGGGTATATAGGGTTTAGGGCTTAGGGAGCGTAAATTAAGTTACTATAATAAGGAAACCCCTATTGCCTGATATCTATACCCATGTCATGGTAACTTAAATCCTTAAACCCTAAACCCCGTATATTCATATTCTGGTAGCTGTGGTTAAGTTCCTTAGCAGCAACCCAGGAGTGCGACCATTGAGGATGTGTTGCAGCACCAGGCGAGGCTGACGCTCATGGTTTAGGTTTTAGGTGGAGGACAGCAGCAACAACAATAAATCTAATGAAAGCAATAGAATTCGTAGAAACAGATAGTAATGCCACGACTACTAGTACTGGAGCATTTAACCCATCATGTTGCAGTCTTTGTTTGTTTCTGGATTCTTGTCTGGTCGGGAGCTTGGGGCTCTGACACTGGTAATCATAATAAGTTCCCTTAAAACACCTGTTTCTATCTGGGGTCCCTGGAAGCTCCCAAGACCCTTGATAGGGTTCAGGGTTTAGGGTTCCGCTTTATCCCCTCAAGGGGACCATGAACTTGATGATTAGAAACTCTGGCTCCTAAACCCTCAACCCCGAAGCCAAAAATCCCTTCTCCTTGGATTGCGTTAACCCCATGGATCCAGGCAGGCCTGGCGAGGCCCTTCCCAAGCTACTCGCCTGCACTGCACTTCTCCTACAGATCCAAATAGCCTGAAGTATGCATCATAAGTTGCACACATTTATATATACACATGAACAATATATATGTATATATACAATGTGTCTGGTATTATCCATGAATAACGGACCCCAGTATAGACCCCCAAATATTATAAGCCGTATCATGGGGAGCCCCAGCAGGTAAGCCTAATTCGCGGAAAGCCCCATACGTCTGTATACAGGCCTGCAGGGCTCAAGCGGGTGTTGTGTAAAGAGTTTGGCTTTAGTGGCCACACTGTAGGGTCTTGGGTTTAGGGTCTTGGGTTTAGGGTTTAGGGTTTAGGGTCCAGGTCGCATAGCATGTAGTATTTAAAGGGCTTAGATCCCCAGACCCTTAAAGTTCCATGTCTGAGCCATTGTCCTCAGAGATGAAACTCACAAAACTAG